TATAGTCTGCAATTATCTCCTAAAAATAACCTCTGTTTCTCTTTTTTTCTGTGAATGCAGACATTGGGGATGTTGGAGGCCATGCCCAGCAATAAGCAGTATGCTGAGTTAGAGGACTCAGTGAATAAGGCCATCCAGTTCATCCGCTACCCAGGACACTGTCTCAAAGATGCACCCCGACTTCTGGCCCTGCTAGCCAACCTCCTGTACCCTGACCTCAGATACCTGCACATTATCCGTTAACATTGACTTAACCTGACACTCATACTGGAGACTGAGACTATGTTGCCCTTCTGTGGCAAATACAATGATAGTAAACGTCTGTTTTGTGCAGACAAAATCTTGTAGGAGCACAAAGTTTCCAGGTAAAGGCACTGGTTGGTACTGAATTGATTTTGCTATTATATCAGCAAGAGCTACACGTCTTATCAGCAAGGGCTTATTGTGACAGAAACGGATTCGTCATCAAAGCTTGCTGTGCATTTATGAAATACACTTTTCGACTGGTAATGTACAATGAAGGATCATTCAACCAGTCAGGAGTATAAGAAATGTTATGTGCTAACCTATGACCTTTTTTTTGCACATTTCTTTCATCAGTCATGTTTATGCCTTGTTGCTTTTTATGTAACTTGCCTGTTGGGTTTCAAAACCATCTGTTCTATTCTTGATTTGAGAGAATGTTACACATTTATTGAAGCAGATTTCATGAAACAGAATTCATCTCTGGGCTTTAGGTGTCAGTTTCTCACCTGTATGTGGAATTTAACAGAAAAAAAGTTGAAGGGTCCACAAATTATTTGGAGGAAGTTGAAGGACAGATCTAATAGGCTTATGACTTTAGTATTACCTTCTTAAAATGGGGAGTGGGACATACCAGGAAAGCTGGTAGCCTGGGTTCAATGCCTGATACACCTCTTGAGGTTTGCTGTTGATGCTAGCATCAAGCTACGAGCTACAATCTGAAATGTTTCAGTCTTCGGTACTATACACATACAGATGAATACAGTGGCTGCCTGTAGGAAGTGATCATGTTTAGTAACAGAACATTTTCAAGTATAATGTTCATGTCCAGGCAAAAGTGCTTTGCTTGTTTCTGCCAAAGAGATTTTATCTGTTCAGCTACTTGAACCTTCTTGACTGTGTTCTCTGGTTGTTTCATCTGTGTCTGCTAGTTACAAAAACTACAGTCTGAAAAAGCACACGCACTAGAAGATACACCAAATATCACTTACAATGTGCCACACCACTTGGCTTCCTTATAAAGTAGTATGTCCTCTGTAATACAAATTGCTAATGACACTGGTATTACTAAAAGAGCAGGGATGTAATGCTGTTGGAGCGTGTCTATAACTGGACTTACATACACCTATGGTGGCATTTGAGAATAAAGCCTCATTGTTATTCAGATTTATCAGACCCTCAGTTGTACTGTATACACAAAACAGATTTTACATTTTAATTACCCTTGTCAGTTTACCTCCTGTATTGTTCTGTGCCATCTAAATAATAATCATGCTGCACTTCTGCAGCCTGAAGCTTGCCTTATTGCCTGTGTTATGTGGTGACTGTTAATGTCAAATGCGTTTCTTTTTTATGAGTCAGTGATGAGGAATGGGTCTGTAGGGCTGCTGCAGGAGGGGAGCTACAGAGCCAGGCTTCACAAAGGAGACATGGCTCTGTTTATTAAAGAGAACTCATTGTCTCACAGCTGGTATTTATCAATTCAGCTCTGTGATCTGGGACCACATGTAATACATGGAGCCTCTGGAAGCAGGGAGACTGATCTAAAAACCGTCGACAGGTCACACGGTGAGACACCCAAGTGGGACACCAATGAATCAAGCTGTAAGGAACAAGGGAGGGAGTCAGAGAGGTCTGGCACAAATACGGTATGCAGGCTCTATACAACAAAACTGAAATCTGCACTCCCTGTGAATAATGTTGCAGATGGTCATATTGAAATTAAAGCTTGCTTATGTAAGAAGCATGGTCACTGTAAAACCCAATCCATCCATTACAAAGAATTCTATTGTGAAGTCCAGACGAATGTTAGGGACTGTTAAAATAACATAAAAATTTTAGGTTCACTTGACACAAACACTCATCCCTTGTAAGCTTGAAATAATTGTTTTTTGATTTTTTTTGTTAATTTTGCTTAAATTGATAAAGTCAATATAGCCTAATTAGTTCAAGGCCAATTAACAACATATTCATCATGCACTTGGCTTATATTTTTGATAGTTGAATGAACTAAAAAAATTTTAAAATATATTTATGTTCATATGACAAGTGGTCTCTCTCTTGCTCAATAAAATGAAAGATTTATGTTCACATGACAAAAACACAAAACTACAACATGTGTGCATGCTATTGTCAAGATGGCAGCCTCTATCAGTTTCCTGCAGAACTTGCAATTGAGTTAATGAATGGTAAGTGAAATTCATTTTAAGTAAAATGATTCTCAAAATTGCATTGTGAAGAGCTGCCTAAAATGTCTTGTCGTTTTCATAAGGATGCCAGAATCCACCTCAGGCCAGTACCACACCTTATTGTCCCCCACAACCAAGAAATGGTAAGTCATGAACATGACCACATCACGTACATATATGGGCTGAAACTACTTTCAAAATGATTTTGAGCTCGTAAAGTGATGTTCACAAATGATTCCAAAGTTTATAGTTGTAAATCAACCTTTGTAAACCTGTAAAATAAATCTGCAAGAGAAATGTGTAAGGTGTACTCATAACTTTGATGTTACTGTAGGCCTACTGTACTTAAAGTTTTTATGTGGAAGCTGTTTCTACTTTTAAATTGAGTGGGCAAATTCATATTTACAGAATATGACAAGCATGTACTGTGAGTAATTTGATTGGCATATGCATCCTGTTCTCTGCATCTGTGTGAAGCAACAGCCCAGGTCCGCAACTCAAAGTAGCTTTTCCAGAAGACTGTTCGGGAGGAAGGCTATAAATTGAGCTGGATGCCTTTGCGCGTGTGTGCGTGTGTGTGCGTGTGTGTGTGCACGCACATACATTCAAGTATCCTCATTTGACACCACCACGTCTGTCTGAGAGAGAACCTCTTCTCAGGCAATGGTGGTCTCTATGGTTACAGGAAGGGTAGAAGTGAGAGAGGAGGTGGAAAGGACTGGGTGTTCTGAGGCTGTGATAGGGAGAGAAAAGGAGGTGAGGTGGGGATATATACAGACACTCATTGCTGCCTCCTCTTCACACTCAAAAACAACCTCCGGTGTGTTCTGTGAACCCCTCGACTGTCGCCTCTCGCCAATCAGTCGACCAGGTGGTGAAGTGCACTGAAGAATTTGACATTAATGTGACAGGTTGCTCTCAGACATTAGCATCACTGGATATCTCTTCCTTAATTCATCCTATCCTCACACATACAAACACGTGCTCAGAGTACCCATTGCTGAGACAGAGCATTCCTGGCAGACGCATCACTGTCTGGCAGATTCCCTTGTCACCATGGAAACCCAGCATCAGGTCAGGAATAGTTGCTCCTACACTGTTTCAGTGCACACTCAGCATCAGAGCAGCACATGGATCAGCTCTCATTGGTCATAACTGCCAATTAGGATGCAGACATAAAACAAACACAGTTCCAGCAATGTGATTACACTCTCTATAACCTGACCAGTTATGCAAGAACTTCTAACAGTGAGGATTATTGTATAACCTATGTGCTCACTTGGCACACACGGACGCAGATTCCAGATCTCATTTTATCCGGATGTTTCCGTCAGTGCATTGCAGTCGATTTCAACATGTTCCAGTGTTCGTCACAGGCCGAGCGGAGGGCCCTGCATGAATAACACTCCACTGCTGACCAGCTGCTCTTCTGGGACAGCTGCACTGACCCCAAGGCCCCCCCTGCTGCCAAAACACACAAACACACACACACACATACTCACACTCAACTGGACACACAGGAATGTTTCTCACCCAGCTCCAGCACCCCAACTCTGCAGCACAGTGACTTCTCTGCATGCTTGCATTGTTTTAAATGTTTAAAGACATGCATGTGTGTGAGAGCAGGTGTATATTTGCATGTGTCAGACGGACTCCTCCACTTTTCTAGCACCTCCTTGCCAGTCCGGTGGGGAGCGATGACTCAAGCTTAAATGAGTCTTTATCTGTCTCTCTCTCTTGCATTGACCCAGCAGAGCCAAAGCGCTTCTCCCCACTGAGTGTACCTTCCTGTGCACTTGATGGTAAAAGTCATCAATAATGACTCAGCACTCACCAGTGCTGTAATATATGTGGTTTTTTTTTTGTTGGTTTTTTTAGAGAGAGCTGGGTAGGCTGCTTGTTGATTTGCTCTGGACAGAGAACAGAAGTGAAGTCAGAGAGGAATGTTTGGCCTTCAGGATATAATGTGCGTCTTCTCAATCTGTTGCAGGAGCCAAATCTCCCCCACAGTGAAGGACTTTTTTTTTTTTTAAACAAGTTAATGTTGGTTTAACTCTGGATTGTGGGGCTGATGATTCTGGGGCCAAGAGGCTGGGGTAGCTGTTGAAAGTATCCATACATTGAGGTGTATTAAGGTCAAAACTGGGGGTAGAATACCAGCCTGTCAAAGTGGGCAACGCCTCACGTGTCAACTGGATATTAGTTAAGGAAAGGGTTAATGTTTATTTAAGGGCTGGTATTGGGGAAAGTAGGAGTCTGAATAAATCTTCAGTCTTTTCAAAGATAGAAGATGTGTGTATGGAGTCAACACATGACTCAGCAGTGTTAATACCAATTCAACCCAAGCACGACTACAAGATCACGCATACAGAATCAGGTGATTGTTCCTCTGTCAGCTAGCAGGACTCCCTCTCTTTCTCTTTCTCTCTCTCTCTCCCTCTCCCTCCCTCTCTCCAAATATGACTCTGTTTCCCTTCACAGTGGAGCCCCACACCTCTGACATGCTTTAGACGACTAAAACCCTACAGGAGGAAAGAGTGAGAGCAAAGCCACTGGTCACGTTTCCAAATCAAATTCTTCAGTGAAAAGTTTAACCCTAAATGTAACTCGGTGTGAGAGCTGAGTGTGTTTGTGAACAGACCTTGAACAAAGAGTTCTGTTGGCCGACAGAGAGGCAGAGGAGAGGGCTGGGTTTGCTCTCCAGACTGCAAACGATCCGACAGGACCGGGATCGGAGGCAAACAAGGCAGCAGCAGGCTCGGTAAGAAAATCTTTACTATATACAGCTACAGGCATTTTTTTTTTTTTTTTTTGAGCGAAAGCTTCCTTAAATTTGAGCAGATTTTACACAGCAGGAAAGATAATGATCATGGATGGGGAGTAAATTCCCCAACCATCATCAGAGTTGTTTATAACCTCGCAGCCTCGGATTAAATGAGTTAATTGAGTGATTTTTACATAATGGCTCTTTATGAAAGTCAAAGACTGAAGCAGGAGGGGGTGAACTTTTTTTTATTTAAGATTTGTTTTATCTGCAAATCTCTTTAGGAGCTTATTGGTTGCAGTCCTTTTTCACAAATCAAATCACTCACAGTTGTAGTGATGCGATGGATGTAGTGTTTAAGGTTGGCTGCGCGGGCAGTTGTCCGAGGTTTTCCACTGAAACGTCAGATGCACCTCAGTGTTTGGTCACCGGTTATTTCGGAGCCTGTGATCCTCCCGGCCATGCGTCCTGACGTCAATTTATAAGGACCTAGCGGTGCAGAGCCGGGGCGGCGGGCAGATAACACGAGCCGAAGGAAAGAAAGAAAGAAAGAAAGAGAGAGAGAGAGAAGCCGGGTCATGTTGATCTGATATTCTCCATTAATTGCTGAGCATTCTGGTAGGATTTTCTTTATTTCCTTCTCCTTTGCTTTCTTTTCCTTATCTTTTTATTTCGCATCGCCCTCGATCTCGTGTAAGGCTATGCTTTTGAACCTTCTCGTTTTCACAGTATGGGGCTAATATTGAACATATCTCAGATTTATAACCCAGTGCTTGGTGTCAATTATGAATATAAATTATAGATTTAAATAGGCGGGCTTTAAGATTTTGGGTTTCATACTGTAACAGCGCACTGGCATGTCTTTGTCTGTAGCAGCATGTAATAATGTTACAGATGTAACGAGGCTTTTTCTTCGTCTGTTGAGCTCTCTCGGTCAAACAGAGGCTTACCTCATCCTGTTCAGAGGAAGTGTCTCCTCTGTCTGACAGGTTGTGTGTCTCTGCCCTGCCGGTTTGGAGGCAGATCGATCGGTATGATCAGCAATCCGTTTTATTTATTCCACGAAAAATCTCACATTTTCAAAATAAGTGCATGTGAAATGAATTATTCCAAGAGAAGTCCTTTTCATGAAGCGGATGAAGGGGATTCCTCTGCACCCTACCTGACTTTACATCAGCACAGCAACCACATCCCCATAGCAACAGTTAGTAAAACCAGTACTCTGTGTTCCCATCTCCATCTATAACTGAACAGACTTCACAGTAAAGCCCCGAAGGAGAGTACTTGAACACGCTGTGCATTGTCAGGACATATATAGTCTGAGCATCCGCCTAGGAGGAGTGATTATAAGACCCTAACAGTCAGCCCTCTGTCTCCCCAGTGACTGACCACGGCCAGGGTTGAATAGGAGGTGTGGGGTCCCAGTCCCGAGTGTATGCCTGTGCACAGCTATGGGGAAGGACTACTACAAGACCCTGGGCATCCCCAAGGGTTCCAATGAGGAGGAGATCAAGAAGGCCTACCGACGCATGGCGCTCCGCTTCCACCCTGACAAGAACAAGGACGCCAACGCAGAGGAGAAGTTCAAGGAAATTGCAGAGGCCTACGAGGTTCTCAGCGACCCCAAGAAGAGGGTCGTCTATGATCAGCTGGGAGAGGAAGGTGAGGAGGAGGGGGAGAGGGGGGTGTCAGTGTCTGAGTTTGATCCTATCTGTATCTGTGTGTCAGTGTAGGATCACGGAGTAAAAGCAGTCAGAGTGCAGGCAGAGCAGGCCTCAGCGCCCTGTTAGTGAAGCCTTGTTAAACAGGCGTTATGATGGATTAAGATGTTATTGAAATAGCTCAGGAACAGACTCAGTACCTAATATCACAGTGGAGGACTCAGGTGGGCTTCAGTCACCGAAGTAATAATGCTGTGTCTCTTCCATGTTTTCATGTTTCTGTTTATGTACGGGAACGTGTGTGTGACTGGTAAGTGTCAACAACACTTACCAGCTCTAATACCTTACAGTCTACCTCAGCTGCTAGTGTAGTGTGTTTATAACTGTGTGTGTGTGTGTGTGTGTGCGTGCGTGCGTGTGTGTGTGTTAACACAGTGTGTGTGTGTGTTAGCTGACAGACAGATGGCTTAAGATCATGATGTGGTTGAGATATGAATAGCAGCGACTGCTGTAGTTTGCATTTGTGGGTGTTTTGTGCATGTGTCTCTGTTGGAAAGGTGTGTGTGTGTGTGCGCGTGTGTGTGTGTGTTAGTGTGTGTATTTGTGTGAATGTGTTGGATGGAGTGACCTGATATTTCATGAGTTGCTCCACCACCAGCACTGTTGGAAGATCAGTGATGCTGTGGGATTTTTCCTGCCCACGTGGGCTCCACTCTTCTCTCTGCTGTTACCCACACTCTGTCCTCTCTGAACGAGGTCCTGCGTCTGGTATCTGAGTTCATATGAATGTTTGTTTTCAGCGTGTTGTGGGTGTTTGAGTGTGTGCATGTGCATATGAGGCCTCACATTCTTCTCTCTCTCTTTTCCCTCTCAGGTTTGAAGACAGGAGGCAGCAGCTCTTCAGGTGCTCCTGGCAGCTCGACGTACCACTACACCTTCCACGGAGACCCCCATGCCACCTTTGCCTCCTTCTTTGGCGGCTCCAACCCCTTCGACATGTTTTTTGGCTCCAACCGCAGCCACAACCGCTCCAATGGTTTCTCCTTCCACAACGATCACAGCAATGACGCCGAGCAGGACATGGACATGGATGAGGATGACCCCTTCGCTCACTTCGGAAGACAGTTTGGCTTTCCGGGCGGGATGAACAACGGCTTCCCGGGAGAGGGCCGCAGGAGGAGGGGGGTGCCGTCGGAGCGCCTGGGGACTGGCCGAAAGCAGCAAGACCCTCCGGTGGTCCACGAGCTTAAGGTCTCGCTGGAAGAGATCTTCCACGGCTGCACCAAGCGCATGAAGATCACCCGCCGCAGGCTGAACCCGGACGGGCGGAGCATGCGGACGGAGGACAAGATCCTCAACATTGTCATCAAGAAGGGCTGGAAGGAAGGGACCAAGATCACCTTCCCTAAGGAGGGGGATGAGACCCCTGAGAACATTCCTGCCGACATAGCCTTTGTACTTAAAGACAAAGGGCACATCCACTTCAAGAGAGACGGTTCCAATATCATTTATAACTGCAAGATCAGTCTGAAAGAGGTGCGTCTGCCCATTTTCACCTAACCTCTCTCTCTTCTGCTGTCTGCCTTTCTATCTATCTTCAGTCCTTTCTGCATGTAGACGAGCGGCTAATGCTGCTGAGGTTGGGAGTTTGATTCCCAGTGCTGCAAACCAGGCAGAAATTTAATGCATTCATGGAGCTGCAAAGTTTTGGGTGAATTTCTATTTCACTGCTCTTCTTCATATCATTCTTGTCACTCACCATGGGCAAACAGTGGATGAGATGAGGAGGTGTGTCTGTTTTAAGGGTAGGATTATGTCCTGGGTGGGTGGTCATACTAAACATATTGAGTGAGTGAGTGAGTGAGTGTGTGCGTGTGTGTGTGTGTGTGGCTTGAGGGCAAGATCAGTGGAAGCAGAGAGTCTCTGTCACTGCAGTTTGAGCAAAGCAGCAAGAATGTGGTGTCCTTGTGTGACCGACATAGAGCCATTGTCCTCACTTGTTCTGCACTGCTGTATAAATAATACATATACATAAACACACATGCAGGCAGGCCCGCGTAAAGCTACACACAGGCCTAAGCATACATGCAAGCATACGCACTCTCACATCTTCAAGTGTATTTGCAAACACACTTAAAGATGGATTGTAGTGTGACAGTGGTGACAATCCAGAATGCTATTACTGTGACTGGCAGGACATTTAATTAGCCGCTCCTACGAGGGCAACGGGTCCAGCACAGCTCCGCTCCGTCTGTGAATTACACAGGCTTTAATATTTCTAATAGCACTGCCACTCACTGGCCTGCTCTCCACATGGTCGATTAATGGCAGGTGTTCTCAAAGAGTTGGAGATGTCAGGGGAAAGTTGTTTGTACTCATCTGAAGCCAATTCTGAACGGTTTTGCTGTAAAAGCAGCACCGACTGCAAAACAAGTAGACAGCACAAACATGAAGACAGCCTAGTTAATAAGAGCACATTAGAGTTTGTTGAGTCGCATTTAGCAGGAGATGGTACTTGATCAAACCTGCACAGTGATTACGTTTGCACTGCAGAACTCCCACAGCTAAAACCCTGCGCTCTTACAGCAGCCAGATAAGAGACTTAAGTGATGCAGCCAAAGACGGGATGGGGGAGAGAAGTGAAGATGTGGATGAGGGTGGGGAGTGTGTGTGTGTGTGTGTGTGGGGGGGGTATCGGGGGAATATCAGGGAAGTGGGTCAGATGATTCAGTATCCAAAGCAAATAAGAGCTCATATTCCACTGCTCCGCTCTGCCCTGCTTCCCTAAAGATGTGATGCTAAATGCTGCAGTGAAAACACAGCACCAGCTACACGCTGCACACCAGACGACCTGCCACATACAATAATGCAAATGTTATGCAATGCGCTAGTTAATAATATAACCTAGCCAACAAGATGATTGTTTCCATGAGCAAAAAGAAGAAGGGGAAGGCTAAGACTTAACGATATTTGGAAATGCACATCTTATATGTATATAGTTATTTTGTCATATTTCAACTGCTATATGATTCCCCTGCTATTTGGTTGCTTTCTTTACTGCCTAAAGCGTGCCCTGATGAACAGCTTCATTTAGCTTATTTTGGTCATCCTGTAAATTCCTGGGAGACACTGGTAGAGGCAACCTGCAGCCATGCAGTGCCCTACTTTTAGAAAGCTTAGTGAGACTCATTGACACATTGATTTCCCTGAAACCAACCTGTACCTGGATCTATAGCGTGGCTCTTTCTGGCATTAATGATTCCTCTGCATTGTGCTGGTATCATCTGTGGCAGTGCATTTCTAGCTCCTGTCACAGCTGCTCTCAGCTCAGCAGCAAAACCCACGTCCAAACACACGTAGGTGCTAACTGTAGCTGCTGGGCTCTAAAGACTAAGTGGACCACTTTTTACAGCTGCACCTATGTTATCATTTAGAAAGGCAAATATACTGTTTATGCACATTTTTTTTTAGCAGCTTAGTTTTTAATCCTGTCAGTTTGATTAAATACAGACAGCAGTATTTAAGTATGTATTAAGGGTATGGACTGAATTGACATCGACCCTTACTGCAAAAAAGAAACATACATGTCAGGGTAAAGCATCTAACAATGATAGTTCACCTTAGGATAGGGCCCCAGAGGTACATAGGTAGGTGGGTAGATAGATAGATAGATAGATAGATAGATAGATAGATAGATAGATAGATACTTAATTGATCACCCATAGAGGAAATTTAAAGCATTCTTACCATTATTGCTAAATCAGTGTATATGTGTGTTTGTTTTTTGTCAGTTTCTAGGGCTATGTTGTCTGAGCTGAGGCTTATGCAATCAGTGGGCCCTCCGATCAGCTGGCAGTGTGTGTCGAGCGTCATGGCAACCTGTCTCTGTGTGTAAGACTTGTGTTAGTGAATGGAACTGTTCATAACAAGAGGATGAGCCACTAGTCTCCATCATAGTCGAGGGCTAAATCACCCCCTGCAATGTACATAGCGGCTACAGGGAGAATGATGTCACGGCTGGAAAACTCTGAAGCAGCTGCTCTGCTTGACTGAACTTTAACTGTCCACATGTCCATCGCTGTTTGTTAAAAAAAAAAAACACCCACCAGACGAGACAAGAAAATCCCCCAACAGTCTTAATACAGCATTGCCCACATAATGACATGGACTGGGGTCTTAGAGGTTAAGCAAGTGCCAATGCAGGCAAAAACACTACTACATCACGAGGGGCTGGTTGCCTTGTGATGAATGATGTTTGGAGTTGATATGTTTTGGAAAAACCTGAGAGGGAAAATTGAACTAATGCTCCTCTTTCCATCCAAAAGCTTGTCTGAAGTAGCATATAGCTTCATTGATTGATCTAAATCTTTGCTAAGCATAGGTTATCAGCAAAATTCCTTCCTAAATAGAACATTCCCATATTAACCAGCCTCCTTTGAAGTCTTTTGACTTCAACTCCAACTCCTGGTATCCACCCCTCTTACTCTTACACATGCCATTATGCAATTTCTCCACCCACAAAAAATTACTTTGTTCACCACTTTCGGCCAGACTGAAATACCATAACAACCAGTCAAAGGAATTTAAAGGTGCTATATGTAAGTTTTTGTTATCTCTACATAGCCAGCGTTAGCATTAACAGCTGTTTACTTACCAGTCAAGAAGTTCAGCTTTAAACTTACTCGCCAAGAGCTGTCTCCAGCGGTGGAAAGCAACACCAATGTTAACTCTTGTTTTGCTTCTATTTCTATAATTTTTTCTACTGAAGTTAGCATGCTAACCAGCTAGCCCTGTCCCAACAGGCTCATCCCATAATATTACTTTGCAATAGTGAGTCACTGTAGCGTCCAGTGTGCCTTCAGTTCAGCAGGAGAGGATGAAGAAGTAGCGCTGATCAGAGGGTGTTTTTTAACCTCTTGTAAACGCAACAATGGCTGAAGGTCTTTGCAAGTGACCACCACCACCACCACTCACTCCCAGCATGAAAGAAAGTCCGGCAGCAGAGAAACCTTACTTATAGCACGTTCAAAGAGATAAATACCCTCATCCAAGTGGATGGTTAAAAAGTGACAGTGAGAGAGAGAGAGAACACTCTTACACAGATATCCATGTTGCAAAAAGGATGACCTCTAACAAACTTTTTTCATCTAGCACCACAGGTAAGTGAAAGTTTTTACTTATCTGTGGATTGGCTCAAAAAATGGCAGACATTCCTGGTAACTTTAGTCATCCCCTGACCTTTCACCTACTGCCATCATAAGTGATCATCATCACTGTTGGCATTTTTATGTATATAGGGGCATTTTTAAGCTAGATGGGAGATGACATTTAACAAAGATCAAACCAGGGATGTCCCAAACCCTTTGATGAACAAGATTATCCACTGTTCCCCACATTACTTTTCATTTTTTCTTACTTTCTTGACCTAAACTCTTTCACTCCGAGTGAATTATAACTCATCCACAATGGCTCTCCGTCGGTCTTTCCACACACCTTTCTGGTATTTTTTTGCCAACTTTATTTTATATAGTATACAATTTTGCAGCAGTTGCTTAGAAATGCACTATATAAGAGAAGTTTGTTATTTATCGGGATGTTCATTCACAGAGTTGGATTTAAATAGTTCTTTCTATTCAGTGCAAATCTGGTGAGTGATGCTCACTGGAAAGCCTGTGAAGTCGTGATAACCACAGGTCTCCGTGTTTAGTTTAGCACTCTCTACGCTCCGACTGGATTCATCAGGCGTTGTGATAAGGAGGTGAGGCTTAGTGTGTGTGTGTGTGTGTGTGTGTGTGTGTGTGTGTGTGTGTGTGTGTGTGTGTGTGTGTGTGTGTGTGTGTGTGTGTGTGTGTGTGTGTGTGTGTGTGTGTGTGTTCTCTCCTCATCCTGCCAACCCATCTGACAAGCCCTCCAACTATTTACGAGCTCAGCCGATTCCTGCCTCACTTCATTAGCCGCGGCTATGAGACGGTTGCTAAAATTAGTCCCCTGTGCAATGTGTAGCCCCCTCCAACACTAACACACTTGTACACACACACATACACAAACACACACATACACACACAAAGACCGAAAAACTTTTCCACTGCCAAGTCATGTTTTCCTAATGTTCCTGTTAAATGCTGTTTTGTAGACCCCACCGTGCTGTAGTCGATACTAAAACGATTTCTCAGGGAAGCCCACTGTCTCTTTCTCTCACAAACACATACCACACACACACGATGAACACACACAGAAAACACAAGGATGACGTACTGAGGGAAGATAAACTAAACTTTTTAGTTCATGGAAACATTAAGTCATCAGGATATTCATGGCTTTGGCATTTCATTCCTACTAAAGATATTAACCCTCTCAATCTCCTCTTCCTCTCCCCTCCAGGCGTTGTGTGGCTGCACAGTTAGCATTCCCACGCTGGAAAACCGTGTCATCTCTCTTCCCTGTCATGACATCATCAAGCCAGGGACGGTGAAGCGACTCAGAGGGGAAGGCCTGCCATTCCCCAAGAACCCGTCACAGCGCGGTGATCTCATCGTGGAGTTTTCGGTCCGTTTTCCCGACAGGATCCCCCCTCAGTCCAGAGAGATTATCAGACAACACCTGCCACAGTCATAGGTAGACTCACCTCCAGCCCCTCCACCACCACACACTCCAGACTAAACCCTGAAAAAGAACCCTTAATAATCCATCATCAACTCCTACCTTATATTTTGACCCTTATTGTAATTAACCTTCCCATGTCCTGTGTTAATGCCCACAGTTTTAAACAGACACTGTGTTTTGTAGGGACGTCACAGTGGGAGGAGGAAGGAAGAATGCCTACACAAATGGCATTATCAGGATGAAATTATTTGTGTTTGTTTTGTCTTTTGGCCCAAGCACATACACAAGCATCCGAGCAGTGGAGCGGTGCTGAGGATGGGCTCAGCACAATTGTGGCTTTGACCGGAACTTCTTTTCTTAACTCTGTTTTTTACGGATTTATCAGTGGTTTTATATGCTGTCCAACTCTCTGATCCTCGTCTTTTTGTGATAGGATGAAGTGTGAGATATTTTTTAAAAAGAAACATTTTTTCCAGGATTTCCTTTTCCAAAGGAGGTTTCAAATAGGATTATTTATTTTTACCTTGAGTGTACCAGCAGCTTCAGTGTGTTCAGTGCAAACCCTAGTTTTAACACAACTCTCCCACTGCCACCTGCTTTTCTCATGCTTTCAGTCTAATAAAGCATTGTGCTTGAAGTCTGTAGGCCGTTTACCTTTTAGTATGATCTGTCTCCCCCATAATCTGTTGTATTTTGTGCCACAATGCACTTAAAAGTCCTGCATTACTCCAAACAGTAATAGCATATCTCAGCTGCATTGGAAAATCTGAGAATGACAATCACATACTGTAACAGCAGTGTTGGATAATACAATCTGCACATAATATGGGTGCTTCCCCATCTGAGCTGTGTGGCTGCTCTGAACTGAATAGCCTGGCTCGATATCTGAGGAACATTTAGGTGCCTTAGCCCGGTGTCATACCACATATGTAAACAAACACACACACAAACACACACACATAATCACACACGCACGCACACGCAGATGCACATGCACATATATACAACCAGCCATGTTAAGTGCACAATAGACGATGCCCTATGCTCTGTTAGACGGGACCATTGGGACATTGGGAGCTGGTAATCTTGGAAAAAGATGAAGTAAGCAATGTAAAATCAACCAACACATGGTACTGTATGGAAGCAAGGACATATATTTTTAGGGAGAGATCTGATACAAGACTGAAGAATTTTGCCAATACATCCCTGTAAAGTGCCATACAAGTACAGGTTTGATTTCCCAGAGGAATGTAAGCATGAAGTTAAGCTGAAGTAGTTGACATTCCTCTGGGAAACCCAGCTCTGTTGTGTGTATATATATATACTGCTTTCTCTTGTGCCATCTGAAGGCCGTGTCTTGGTGCTACTGTGAGCAGTGCCAAAAATAGACCACCGTGGTGTCTACTTTTTGGTTTAATGGAGTCCTCAGTTTGTGATTTGATAACTGCTTCTGTTCTCTGTAACATCTTTACATCCAACGTTACGTCTGGTTTTTTCAAGTAGAAAACCCTGTTTAGGAAACAGGTTTTGTGATATTGCAGCAGCTGTTCTCTGTCTCAGCTGCAGGGGGCTCTGAAAACTTGCTTCAGCTCTTCCTCCTGTAGTTTACAGCAATGATAAGATGTATGTATGAGTATGGTTTATGTAGACAGCCCTAGTAGGTCATATATATCATGTGTATGGGAAAATGTTTGAATGCAACATGTTTAAAAATGCACTTTTTATGTCATTAAAGATACTGACAAAAAACTATGAGATGATGAGAGACTTGAATGATGTGTCTGAGTGTGTGAGCGTCCTGCCTCTCAGAGCCTTAGAGGATGCTGGACTGTGGCTACAACCAGAATGCACATGTGTTGCTGCTGAAAGACTCACTGTCACTGCTTATGTGCATTTGACAATATTTATGATCTTTTCAAAATTGGAGATAAATAAACCAAATGTGTGAAGTTAACGGTTTGTGTCATTTGTCTTTGTATCCTGATTTAGATCCCATTTGTGGTTCGATGCTTACATGTGACATGAGAACGCTGGATGTTCATATCCCTGTACACACGATTAAACAGTATCCAGGTGTCTGATTAAAGTGTGTGTGTGTGTGTGTGTGTGTGTGTGTGTGTGTGTGTGTGTGTGACTCAAGAATTCACACAGTAATTATGACAGTTGTACACAAATGATTAATATATTTTATGACAAACAGGGATGTAACCTGGAACTTGTCTGAGTGGCAGAGTCATACAACCACTTTTGATACTTTAAGCACATTTTACTGATAATACTAATGTACTTTTACTCATAATGAAGTATTTTCACATTGTTGCATGGTACTATTACTTCTGAGTACTTCTTCCACCACTGATTCTCTGTTGATGCAGAAATTTGTGTCTGAGATGCTGAGGAATCAAGACACCTACATTCAGATGATCAGAAACCTGGATAATGGTATGATCATGCAATCAAGGATATCAACAACCAGGTTTCTCATGTTCCAAGTAAATATCCCAAATAAGGTCACAACCATGATAGGAGTCAAAACTGTGTTATTAAACATACGAACTGATCTGGAATCAGTTCTTAGAAACATTAAATGAGCTGAGAAATCATTTTTGGGATCCCATGTGATAAGACATTGGCAAAACATGTTTAACTGTGTGTTGTTTTGATAGGAACGGTGGAGTTTGGACATTTTCCATCAGTTTGAGTTACAGATAAACAAGTGAAGACAGACTTTGACCTGCTCAAATCCAGATGGACAGCAGCTGATCACTGGTCCGAGGTAGGAACGTCTTGACTGGAAAATAAAAAGACTTTTATCCTCTTGATTGTTTAATCTGTGTACTATTTACTGTGTGTGTTAGTGCATTAGTCAATTACACGGTCTGTTCAGCAGCTGGGTCAGGAGACAGTCAGGGCAGGTGATGTGTGTTAAGAGACTGATCATGTGAAACGACTGCACTGGTTGATGAGTTTGTGCGTGTGTGTGTGAGGGAGTGAGCATCGCGTGGTTAGGATATAACAGACAATTAGAGAACCATGGGAAGGCTTTCTGAGATGTGCTGCAGTAACACCACACTGTGACTAATGCCGTATAGCTGCATTAGCTATTTCTGGCTGTAAGGCTGGGTTCGCAGAGAGTTTATATTTCCACTGAAGCATATTTTTCAGCTCAGAGATTGAAAAAAAACAAACAATAATGAAAAGAAGGTCACCAAATTTTTTTTTTTGTTGCCTAAAGTATGATGGATGTGGCTTTGTGAAAGGCTTTTTGCACATGACCCCTGCTGTAGTCCAAGAGTTAATGAATTCAGATGTGAGTGATAATCAGTAACAGAGTATTAGGACTTAGTCATGATGACTGGACGGCCACTGGATCCCTTTCCATAGGACAGTGAACAGCTCACACACTCCTCTGTCACTGTCTTTCCTCTGTCAGGTCCTCAGAGCTGGAACATGAGCACCTTTGTGACTCTCTCAACAGGGCAGAAGATGCCCTTGGTCGGACTTGGCACATGGAAGAGTGCTCCAGGACAGGTAGAACTATAAACACACACACCTTGGCTTTGCTTGTAACATTATTAAGTAATAAAGAAAGCGAGTATATGGACTGTGTCGTCATCGATGTGTTTCTCAGGTGAAGCAGGCAGTGCTGGCAGCTTTACACTGCGGGTACAGACACATCGACTGTGCAGCTGCTTACAGCAATGAACAGGAGGTCGGAGAGGCTTTGGCTCTGAGGGTCGGTCCTGGGAAGGTGAGAAACTCTGGTTACGTTGATCTCAACAGTTCATTCTTGACCTTGGAATCAGCAGCCTCAACTCAAGGCCCATTTCCTCAGTCGTCTTCTGAGCTTTGAACTATATAACTCCATCAGTGGATTGATACAGGTTTAAACCTGCTATTATTCTCAGCATTTTTAAAACTTTCCATCCATGTGTTCTTTCAAGCTAAACTTTTTAGTTAATCCTTAACCTTGGAAATAGAAGTTGACAAAATGAGCCCAAGGTCCATTTACATGCCTGTTCCAGAGCTTTGAAATAGTGTGTTATGTTCAATATGTTTAATGTTACTAATCAGTTTACCAACAGGTCACTATGACACGCAACAACCCCGCAACCCCTCCAAAACAAATACATTGACTTTTTAATGCCATCAACCAAATGGTTTATTAAGATTATTAAGATTTGAAGTTACATTCAGAAATGCCCATATGTAACTTTAATATACAGTATGTACATGTGTTAAATCTGCATATATGAAATATATGTACATATAAAGTAAAATAATATATTTATATACAGTATAGCCTATATATGTAAAAAAAGAAAAAAAAATTACATCTCAAACCTGTTAGAAAATGGAACAATATCATATATTGACATATATGTCTAGCTAAATAGAAACATGTATTTTAGTATGTCTGTTTATGTTATAGGTTTATAATATAGACATATGATACATGTATGCTTAAATTTAGAAAGAAGAAAATCGTATACAAAAATATAGAATTTTAATAAGCATGTTGTTTTGATAAAGTTGCCTTTTCCTATGAGTATTATATATGTTATGAACTTGTATCTTCATATATCCAGAGAATGTATATATGACATAATAATATATCCTCTTATAGCTGAAACATATGGTAACATCCATCTTGATATAGGGACAATTATGTCAAATATATACAAGTCTCAGTATAGAAAGTCCTTAATTCATAGTATAGTAAGGCATAAACTGTCATAGTATAGTAAGACATAAAAAGTCCTAAACTTTATTTAGTGAATACAAACTAGATCTTTACTTTGTAAATAGTAGGCCTATAGGCTAATAGCCATAAGCGGTAAGCAACAACCCCCCTCATTGTTAATAAAGAATAAGTAATTATAATAAAGCCAAATAAATCTCAATAGGGTTGCTGGCTGCTGTGCAGTTCAGCCTCACCGGTCTCTGAGAACTTGCGCGTCATCTCAAGGTAGAACAATTGTAAAATGCAAACACCAACATCCAATAAACAGAAAATACCAAACCAATAAATCTCGACAGCAACAGCGGCTCTTGGTATGAGAGTGTGACTGTCTCCCCATGCAGCTGTGTGCCATAGGTATGGTCGTGTGCGACAGGTGCGTCGAGCGGTGCCGCTTTAATTAAAATGTTTTTATCATTTCTGTGTTGATAAATTTTTATTCTGCAATGTGTTAAAATACATGTCTATAGTGTTGTATTTCCGCACTGTAGCCCAGAAAAAACTGTACATATATATACAGTATATGTGTATATAGAGATCTTGTAGGGCATTTCAAGCATTTCACTGAATTCAACAGTCAGTGCTTTGTTTGTTTGTATATACATTATACTGTCCACTTCAGGCTCTGCATCGTGAGGAGGTGTTTGTTACTTCCAAACTGTGGAACACCAAGCACGACCCAGAGGATGTTGAGGAAGCGTGCAGGACCAGTCTAGCCCACCTGGGTCTCACCTACCTGGACCTTTACCTCATGCACTGGCCCATGGCTTTTCAGTGAGAGCAGCTTCACACACAATAATCTGATTACGTACACATTTTCCCATGTCATTACCTGAAGCAGCCTTCTGCATGTTTCTGCTTTAGGCGGGGGAAGGAGCTGATGCCTCGACGGGAAGATGGAAGCATTTGTTACTCTGATACACACTATAGACACACTTGGACGGCCATGGAGAGTCTAGTGGATAAAGGTTTGGTCAAGGCTATAGGACTGTCCAACTTCAACGCCAGGCAGACTGATGATATCATCAGCATGGCCAGACACAAACCTGTGATCAACCAGGTGCAATGCGACTTTCTCAAGGATTAATTGATAACAGTGATTCAGAAATATAAAAACTGTCAAAACTGTGTGTTGTTGTTCCACAGGTAGAATGCCATCCTTATTTGTCTCAAGCAGATCTCCTGTCACACTGTCGGTCAGTGAATTTAACATATAATCAAAATGGTTTTCCTTTCTCTCGGAGCGTAATACCATGAAATAATGTTCCTATTGTGTTAGTAACAGTGCTTGTACCTCTGCCTCAGGTCAGTGGCAGTTTGTGTGACAGCCTACAGTCCTCTGGGCAGTGGGGACCGACCCTGGGCCTCTCCTGATGAACCAAGTCTGCTGGAGGATCCTCGACTGGGAGCTATCGCCCAGAGATACCAGAAAACACCTGCCCAGGTCATACTCAGGTACAGCAGGACAATTTCCTAACCAGAAAAACCAAAAGTCCCTTCACAGCCTTCTCAGTTTTGTTGTAACCTTGCATTACTTTTACATGTACATAAAAGAAACCTCAATTATGTGACATCCACAGGTGGCATGTTCAGAGGGGTGTAGTGTGTATCCCTAAAAGTGTGACGCCCTCCAGGATCCAGCAGAACTTGCAGGTGTTTGACTTTTCCCTGTCCGAAGACGACGTGAAGCTGATTGAATCGTTCAACCGCAACGAGCGTTTCATTGTCCCATCAGTGGAGGCGAGTCACTGATCTTATGACACATCACAAGATTTCACAACCACTTGTTTATGTTCATCTATAACAGCCATCTTATTTATTGATGGAGACTTACTGATGGTTTCAAACTTTAGGCTGTTCGAGCTGGTACGCACAGTCAAGTCTCCCTGTTTCTCAGAGAGGCAGAACTGTGAGGTGTTTTGTGTCAGACTCCTGTGCAGTGATGGTCTGTTGTAAATACAAATTGTGAAATACAATAATAATGCAAGCATAACTCATTTGTTGTTTTTCCTCCACAGCGGGGTGGTAAGAGAGTGTGGAGAGATGCAGAACATCCTCACTTCCCCTTCCATGATCCTTACTGAGTCTTCGTCCACAGGATGCAATATCTTGCTTTTAATAATTGTTGTCACATACACTGAAGAAACCATTTTTTTGTTTAATTCAAATATGATCAAAATCAGTTTCCTTTTGTGATGAATAATATTTAGCGACTGCATCCATCAAGAACATTGCTTGCAACATGTTTCTCCAGTCAAGTGAAATTGCAAGAGGGGGGCTTTTCCATTGCATTATGTTTTCTTTCTTTGCCAGAGTGACACTGTGTGGTCAGTGACAGAACAACCTCTCTGTCCAACTTTAACATGGTGCCTGTATGTTTCACAGAGACTAGACTTTCAGGGGTTGATCATCACTGAGTCACAGCAGCAGCACTGCACATTGCACTTCTTAACTAATCAATGATGAATTACCTTTACAGTGGTCAGGTAGCATAATAATGCAATAATGGAAGGGCTGTCCCTATTCCCTAGTCATACCATATAAACACAATGTCCTGGTGACCCCAGTGTGATTCCAACCAAAGGACTTTGTTGCTTGTCATTTCTGAACCTCTCCATGTTTTCTTTCTGTCCCTACTTTCAAACGATCAAAAAAAAAAAAAAAAATGTACATCAAATCTGTATCAATAAAGAATTTCAAAACAGACACTGATAACACCTCCATTTCGTGAGATTTTATTTTCAACAACATAACCTTGACAAATTTGTAATACATTATATGCTACTGTTTATTTAAAAAAAAGAGGAAGTCATTAGCAATATGTTTTTTCTTTTCTTTCTTATAGTCTAGCATAGAATCCCATCACTAAAGCCATTCATGTTTGTTGTGATATACTGAGAATGAGGCCACTCAATAAAACCCCACCCACCCCACTGAAAAAAAACTCTGCAGTCACTCACTCACCTTCCATTTCCAACATCCCCTTACCCCCACCCACATCAAAGCCAGGGCAAACCAAGCGGCTACATGCTTTCTCCAAGGGAAATCATACAAAAGAAAAAAAAAAAAAAACAAAACAAAACAAACAGGAACACATGAAAGAAGCACAAAGTCCTAAAAATGTGGAATCTGGTGAGAATTTGTACAGGTGTGATCCCGGTACTGACCACTGTGGGGCAGTGTACATTTATCCATAAAGGTCATCGTCGTTATCTTCATTGAACACTGGACCGCTGCCAGTTCCTCCTGAGCCATGGCTTGGACCGCTGCCACCTGTGGCACTGGAAGGAAACCTGAAAGACAGAGAACAAAGTTATTTATCCATTTCTTAACATTGTGATTTTCCTACGATCTGACAGTTCTTAATATTTCTAACAATATTAGTCCTCGGATGCGTGAGTAATAACCATTTTCCACTGTCAATGGAGAAATGCTGTGACTCACATTATAAAAGCACTTAAAAAAATCTGTCTTTTTATACAAGCAGATTATGTTCCAATATCTCTGTAGAGATGAGATTTGTCTGAAATAGACCATTCAGTTCCAGTTCAGTCATATCAGAAAGTCGTAAGCAAAAAAAGCTGCTTTTGTTCAACACTGCAGAGAGTGACACCCTACTTTCATGGTTTCGTTCTACAAACCTTAGACACACAACAACGGACACTACTGTTAATGCAAAATGTCAGAAAATGTACCTGAAGCTGCCAAAGCCACGGCTCTGCTGCAGTGTCTGAGCAAACATCTCATATTTGCGAATGTCATTGTCACTGACGGAGCGACGAGCAAATCGCATTGCCTCTTCAAAGTGGTCCTTCCTGATCTCTGGCACAGGATCGTCCTCTTCCACCTCCTATGAAGAAAAGACAGTGTCATTAACATGAAATAAATCAGACGCATCAGCAGAGCAGTAGCGTGCAGATGCTCAACTAAATGTGAAAAGGGAAACAGGGGGACAGAGAAAGTACTGACCATAGCTGATGGGTTGGTCTGCCTCTCCCTCTCTCTGCGGATCTCATTCTCGATGCTCTCCCTGATGGCCAGCTTACATGCCCGCTGGCAGATCTCTGTAAGATCAGCTCCAGAGAAACCATTGGTCATCTTGGCCAGGAAGTCCAAGTCCACATCCTATCAAACAAAAGAAATTTAAGGTTTAAAGTTTGATTGTGATCCAAATTTATTCTGATGGGATTTATCAGATTATATCACCATTTTGTAACTTTATATATATATATTCATATGACTATAAATAAAATGTATTCCAACACTTTAAGAGAAGTCATTAAAACTAATAAAAATTCAGTGATCCAAACAAACCATCCTACTACAGAAACAGTTTAATAGTAGTATCTCTATTAGTGCTTCTATGAGTAGCGGCACTCTCACCTTGCTGATGGGACTCTTGCGGAGGTTGGCCTTCAGGATGCTGATCCTGCTCTTCTCATCGGGCAGGGGGATGTAAATGAGCTGATCAAGACGGCCAGGTCTCAGAATGGCAGGGTCGATGATGTCTGGTCTGTTTGTGGCTCCGATGATGAAGACGTTCTTCTTGCTGGACATTCCATCCATCTCAGTCAGGATCTGGTTGATGACACGGTCGGCTGCTCCACCACCATCTCCAACGTTGCCACCACGGGCCTTGGCTATGGAGTCCAGCTCATCAAAGAAGAGAACACATGGGGCTGCTTGACGAGCCTGGAAACATAACATGAACACACAAAATGATTTTTTTTAAAAAAAAGAAAAAAAAGATGATATTGTGTATAGTGAAACTGGTTGAAAACATTGAAGCATGTGGTTTTTCTGCAGATTAAATGTGCAACATTTAAAATTCATTCTTCCCTGCACCCACAGCCTAAAAACATTCTTACCTTGTCAAAGATCTCTCTGACGTTGGCCTCAGACTCTCCAAACCACATGGTGAGCAGCTCAGGTCCTTTGATGGAGATGAAATTTGCCTGGCACTCATTGGCGATGGCTTTGGCCAGCAGAGTCTTACCACAACCAGGGGGGCCATAGAACAGCACACCCTTGGATGGGGTCATGCCAAACTTGAGGAACTTGTCTGGGTGCTCCACTGGATACTGAATTTAAATAGAGGGGACACAATTCTAGTTTTACAGTTTGTGATACACCATCTTCAGACATGATGTCACTTCTGAAAGCCCTTCATACCTGCACCAACTCCTGCAGCTCCCTCTTGACATCTTCCAGACCTCCGATATCCTCCCAGGTGATGTTGGGGACCTCAACAACCGTCTCCCTCAGTGCTGATGGGTTGCTCTGGCTCAGGGCCCACTGCAGAAAAGCATTGAGTGAGTTAGTATTGACTCAGATGACCTCTGTAGACTGTGTGGCACCATCTTACCCTCACCTCACAGCAAAATACATTTTACACATCTTACCTTGAAGTCATCCATGGTGACAGCAAGCGAGTTCATGACTTCAGCGTCAATGGTCTCATCCTCAAGGTCAATCAGGTCCATCTTCTTCCTGATGGCCTGCAGGGCAGCCTCAGAGCAGAGGGCAGCCAGATCTGCTCCCACATGTCCATGGGTCTCATTGGCTACCTATATAAACATATATAGAGCTCAATATTTCTTAAAAAGCAATTCCTGCCCAGATCCAGACTCAATGCTTATTTACCCTGTAACCCGACATATGACAGTGCATTATATCTGTATATTTATTTATAAAGCTCAACTGCTAGTAACTAATGCATACCTGTGTCATGTGGAATGGCAATTTCAGAATTTCACCACAGTATGCTCAGAACTCTGGCTAAGTGTGATCAGTGGTCAATGTGAAAATGAAATGAAATGTAAATTTGGAGCACCTGACTGGATATTTTAACAGCCATTCTATACCAAATAATTTCATTCTGTCAGATTCTATTAAATAGAATGAATTAGAATTTACACTGTAGTTTTACTTAGAAGGTAAAAGCAACCACATGACTATCAGTGTGTGGTAAAAAGAACTGTGTACACAGACCTGTTCCAAGTCAACATCCTCAGCCAGCTTCATGTTCTTAGTGTGAATCTGAAGAATCTCCAATCTGCCAGTGGCATCAGGGATGCCAATGTCCACTTCCCTATCAAAACGCCCTGGAGACAGTTGGGGTTCAAACACACACTTAGTGCTTCCAGTAGAGCAATATAATACATAACGCATACATCTCAGACATTTTAAGAGCACCATCTCCAGGAACTTACTGCCTCTTCTCTCATGGTGTGGCAACAGAAGTAACATCTCAAACTTGCAACTGTTACAAGTTGCAGGTGTAACTATCTACATTTCACAGAGCATCAGTATTTGATGAATAAGCGAGAGCCATTTCTGACCCTCTGTCACAGCTGTCAGAAACATCCCATCATAAGCATTTAAAACTGTGGCCCTGCAGTGTTGCTGACCCATAGATGAACTGCAACCCCCCCCCCAATATTTTTCTTCAATAGCACGTGTGAATTACTGGTTGAAAATAATTCATGCATAGACATGTATTGGATGCTTCTTCTAGGTCCCTGAATACATGCTCAATACAGGTAACTTACCAAATCTCCTGAGAGCTGGGTCAATGCTGTTAGGTCTGTTGGTGGCAGCCATGACGATGACATGAGCTCTCTGTTTCAGGCCGTCCATAAGAGTCAGCAGCTGAGAAACAATGCGCCTCTCCACCTCTCCATGAGTCTACAAAAGACCAAAAATCACATTTTAAACTCCAAGCATCAGTGCTTTGATTGAATTAGTGATCAGGATGGATAAATAAAAAAAAAAAAAGTGTGAAGAGATACTGTTCAAAATGAAAAATAAAAAAAAGAATACAAATCATACCTTAATTAGACTACATTTTGCAATTTCAAAGCATTCTGAGGTCTGGACACTGATAGCCATTTTCATTTATTACACTCAAACACCCATAAATTATAAACAGACACTGTACTGCGATATTCAGCTAGCCATTTAGTGTTCCTCTCTTCCCGCTCACCTTCTCTCTCTTAGGAGCGATTGCATCAAGCTCATCAATAAAGATGATGGCAGGAGCATTCTTCTCTGCTTCCTCGAAGGCCTTTCTCAGGTTACTCTCACTCTCTCCTGCCAGCTTGCTCATGATCTCAGGACCTAAAAGCAGACAGCCAAACATTTTGATTCCAGAGGCAGCCTTAAAAAAAAAAAATCACAGCACAGACTTTATTCAACTATTTGAGTCACAAGTTGGACCATCTAAACTACTCTAACACTATAGTAATAGGTAAACACACTATAGTGTGTGAGACTTATTCCAATACATACAATACATGCATGGCAAAAATACAAATGTAATAGAGTATTAAGCATACAAACCAATTTTCCTAACTGGGAACCCTTATTCAAGGGGACGAAACACCTCTCCTATTTTACAACAGAACTTTATATAAGACTTTTGATGGGGTCTTCTTCTAATAAAGCTCAGCTAAGTTCATACCATTATGAAGAGATGTGTGTAAAAAAAGCAGATCTTCAATGATGCAGAAATTTTATTTTGTTCCTCATAGAATATCAAAGCAACCATTAATAGGATAGTTACTTTTGATAGGATACTTATTTTAAACTATCAGGAACATGCCTAAACAGCAACTGCAAGGCAATGCCATCAGCGACGAACTCAATATTATCATAAAATGGGCCCTAAAATAAGAATAACAGTATAGAGAAGATAAATATAGATGGCTGTTCACACCATTAATCAGGAAGAAGAAAGCTCCAGTTTCATTTGCCACGGCTCTGGCAATCAAGGTCTTTCCAGTTCCAGGGGGTCCATACAGCAGGATTCCACGTGGGGGCTGAAAAGGGGGACATTTTTAATTTTTATTTTTTATGTTTTTTTAAATCAGAATGTATTGTAAAATTTAAGCAATTTTAAGATGAATAACTACAGAATGATTTTGTCTTTTGAGTCAGTTGTCTTAATGACAACATCACTACGCAAACTAAAAGTCACCAACGATCATTCCTGTGCAAGTATGATTGTAGCACAACCCCCGGGTGTTTTAAAATTTAGGATGGGAACATTAATATAAAATGTATGAAAGAAAGTGCTATTTTTCCCCCATTTTCAATTTATACAATTCCATAGTAAAGGCCTTACAATTGGCTGAATTGTTTGGCCATTACTGTGGCCAAACAGTTCTTCCATGCAAAATAAAGATTCTGTACCTTGACTCCGATGGCCTTGAACAGTGCAGGGTGTCTAAGAGGAAGCTCCACCATCTCTTTGATCTGAGCCAACTGCTTTCTCACTCCTCCAATGTCATCATAGCCCACCTCGTTCAGGGACTCTTCCTCATCCTACAAGTTCCAACACAAGATGTTCAAATTTCAATGTGGTTCATTTTGGGTAAATGTTAACTTGTGGACTGTACCTGCTACCCACCTCTCTCCTGATTGGTTCTCCCTCACAGTGGATGACTGTATCAGGAGCAACAATGCAGTAGGGGGAAGGATCAGTTTCCACCACCTTGAACTCCACAGCACGCATGCCACCTCTGACCAGGAAAATATCACCTTCACAAGGTAAAAGACAACAGTATTAATTTTACCACTAACCAAGCTACATGTTGACATACACAAGCAGATTTTAATCAGCCAGGAAAAATTTAAAAAATCTGTCCTGACAGTGAAAATTGGTACTCACCTTTGCGGATTGGCCTGTATGCCTCCAAGAAGTATGGCTTCAGATAGACCTCAAACAGGTTTCCAGTAATTCCTTCTACTGTGTCATCTATTGGGAGGACGTGGATCCTCTTTCCGTACTTCACATCAGGACATGGCTGAATGCTGAGGGAGATATTAGACTTAACACCACTTCTAGTTTCAAGGGTGGTGGAAAGGATTTACAACAAGTGTGTGCTTTTCCCCACCTGATGACATCACCCAGACGGACCCTCAGATTGTTGCGGACCACCCTGTTCATGCGAACCTTTTCATCAGAACAGGTGTCATCTGACAGCACAATGCACACAGTCTCCCGCCTCTTCTTTCCCTTCATCAGCACTGTGTCTCCACGGAAGAGCTGCAGCTCGTCCATCTTGGTCTAAAGAAACACGATTCAAGTTATTTCATGAACCTCTGTGTTATGACATTTAAAATATAAAAATAAAAAATGTGTCAAGACATTGCTTATCTATCACAACAAATCAGAGTTCTGAATTTGTAGATACAGCAGCCATGGATAATACTTTCTAAATGTTTACCTGAGAGAGAGAGACCACACTGTTGTCTTCATTGATGGATTCATCAACAATCAGTCTGTTCGGTCTGTTCTTCTGTTTCAGAATTGCAGTGGCTAGATCATCATTTTTGGATCTATGATTATGAGAAACAGATATAACAAGTTGTAGGTTAAACAAAAGACTTATTATCCATCTTTGAGGTTTCATACAACTCCAATAATAACCACGTTGATCAAATTAGTGGTTAACTGCAATAGAAAAAAAATGTATAGGAAACCAATAACATCCCACTATTGTCATGTTCTACAGCAAATATTGGTAACTTAACTAATTATATCCACAATGAACCTGACTCCGACAGTGCTCCATGAAACTAAATAGTTATAGGTTTAGTTTCGAGAGTGCGTCTATGGGGATATTTCACCCTTTCATGAAATCTCAGGATGACTGAGTTCAGGGGGTAGAAAGGAACTGAACTCATTACCCAGTAAATTCAACATAAATCATTACTGACATAATTTTAAAAATCGACCATGAACAGTTTCATAAGAGATTAGGCATTCTTAGTACTCAGTTATGAATTGACACTAATTGATTGTTTATACTTTGTATTGCTAACTCTAAAAGTATTGTTTGTGTTTTGTATTGCTTAGTATAAATGTATTTCTACTATATTGTGTCTGTACCTTTTTATACAACAATATATACATTGCAAGTTATTGTATAAATTATATGAGAAATGAGTCAATCCTAAAAATATTCTATTAATAATAATAATACTAACTAAAAATAATTAATAATCAATCACGTATCTCTAACTATAAGTGCAAAACAGGTCGTTTACATAATTTGCTATTTACAATGATTGAACGTTACATACGAAAAAAACCTCACAATCAAACCTAAAAATCAAGACACTGTCAAAAAGGAACGATTACGTTACGGTTCAAAAAGCCACGCATTTCTAGAAAACTCCTGGACCGGTTTTGTAGTTTCTCTTTCATGTTGTTAGCATGCTAATGGTAGCCTTTTAGCTAACTGACTGGCGAGCAAGCGAGTGCAGATGACACAGCAAAAGAATTAGAAAAAAAAAAAAAAAAAAAAAAAACTTTTTTAGCTAGCTAGGTTGTCCCTAAAAAAAAAAAAAAAAAAAAAAAAAAAAAAACAAACGTTAAAACCCTACTGTGAGTTTAACTGCTTTAGCTGTCTATGTAACCATTGGCTACATATTAATCAAATGTGTTTTTTCACCGTTTAGCTAACAG